CTTTTGAGAAAACTCCAGGAAAGCAAGAGTCTTGTGACTTCAGCTTCTTCAATACACAGTATTGTGTTACGATAAATCTTTCCGTCAAAAGCCGCTGAGACCCATCGCCACGTGTGCGCTTTATGCCAGCCGCCCGCCCAAATTAGGCCCAAATAAATACACAGAAATTTGTATTAGGTTTAAAGCTGCTTGGCCAATGACTAGCATTCTCATCTGTTAGCTCAGTCTTAATTATCATAAGTCTATATATTTTATAAGACTTATCGGACGCCTTATTGGCGTCCCTCCTTGTCGGTGGATCACATTCTGCCGCTGGAGGAGGAAGGGGAAAAGAGGGCCCTTCCTGTTTCTCTTTTACTTAAATATGAGTCTCCTTGCTATGTCACTTCCTGTCTAGATCAGCACTTCTCTACTACATTTTCTAGAATCGTCTTTGACTCCTAGTCCTGTCTAACTGCTGTCTCATTGGCCAAACAGTATTTTATTTAACCATCAATAAGATAAACATACACAGTACATTCCCCATCAGTATTGTATTTGTGTATTGGATAGGAGTGAGTTTACTTCAGCTGTTGTTATTCATATGCCTCTATGGAAAAAACATTTTTGCCATGTGTTGCTGGTCTTTGTTATTGTACACTTCACTCAGGTGACTGTTAACCCTCAGAGTATAAATTGTCTAATTCTCTGAATAAAGTTGACTATTGCATAAGATTTTAGTCCATTTCACTTTAGGCCCCACTCTCCCAGGTTCACAATTATTTGTGTAAGCTATCGTGCACAACCTAAAAAATTAACTTTCCTCAAAAGCACACTGGTAAAATTACTTTTTTGAAAAGCTTTTAAATATCTGCATACCATATAAAAATGTTCTTTGTGTATGTGTACATGGGGGACCCACATGTTTCACAGTGTGTGTGTAGAGATCAGAGCAGAGAGTCATTTCTCTTCCTCCATGTGGGTCCCAAGGATGGAGCTCAGGTTGCCAGGATTGGTGGCAAGTGTCTACCTATGGAGCCATCTCACTGGCCCCTAATCTGTTTTAAAATGTGTTTTTAAAAGAGTTGAAATTAAAATATTGACTGTGTTCTCTCCTTCGGTACATTTTTAGCCAGGTGATTTTGTCCATACTTTGGGAGATGCACATATTTATCTGAATCATATCGAGCCACTGAAAATTCAGGTAAGAAATATACCTGTTACATTTCTTTTTGAGATTGGCGTCTTCTCTTGACACAAGATTAGATGGCAGGGCATCCTTTGTATCGCAGGCACTCTGATTGGTGCTGTCTCATATTGAAGTGCTCCAGCTTCAGGGCTTTTAAAAAGGGAGATAAGCAGGTGACCACAAGCACAGAACATGGTAAGGTATTCAGTACCTTGTCAGTACCGAGAGAAGAGCCAGGAGATCCGGCATTTTAACTCATAGTTTTACTTGAAGAGCTGGAAAATAAATGTTTGATTTTACTTTTATGCTTAAGTATAGTACTTAAGTCTGAACTTTAAAAAGCCTATCTATAACAAGAGCTGATCCGTAGTCCACAAGGTTAAGATATCTTTATTCAGATAAACACCAGCCAAAAGCAAGCCAGAGGAAGGGACCGCAAGCCAGGCAGGCCAGAGAGAAGGGCTTCCATGTGCTTTGCAGCCCCTTAAAAACCTATAACACATCATACTGACCTCACCTTGACCACGCCCTGACAGGCATGGTCAGGCACACCTGTAGCCAGCCCTTAGGAGGCATTGTTACCGTGTCTCCCTACACCTGTCCTTTTAAATTCCTTTCAAATTCTTATAGTACAGCAGCCAGTAAATGAATTGAAATGGCAGAAGGAATATGAGTGTCCATATTTCATGAACATTGAGGAAAAAATTAGACTCAGAAAAGTAAACAACTGTGTCCCTGTGTTTAATATATTTATTAGGAGTTATCTGGTGGCTTCAGCCTGTAATCACAGCTACTTAAGAGGCTGGAGCAGGAGCATTTCAAGTTCAAGGCTTGCCTAGGCTACAGAATAAGTTCAACATAAGCCTAGATAACCGAACAAGACCTGGTCTCAGAATAAAAAGTAAACAAAGAGCTGGGTTATAGCTTAATGGCAGATTACTCATAAGGCCCCAGGTGCAGTCCCCAGTGTTGTAGAAAGAAAGGATGATACAATATTGCACTCCTGTAAAATAGTACTTTGTGATAAAATACTGTGTTGATTTCATGAGACATGGGAATGAATGTAAAATAATACCATGATTTTGTTTTTAGCTTCAGCGAGAACCAAGACCTTTCCCAAAGCTCAAAATCCTTCGAAAAGTTGAGACAATTGATGATTTCAAAGTTGAAGACTTTCAGATTGAAGGTTATAATCCACATCCAACGATTAAAATGGAAATGGCTGTTTAGCGCTCTTTCAAAGATGCTGTGAATACCACCAGACATTAGGGTTTGAGCCTGATGCCCAGGGTAAAGTTTTTCTCTAAAGGAAAATAAACTATAACAAAACTCTGACAGTGATCTATCTGTAAGTATCATCAATGTCTAAAGCATCACTGCCTTTCCTGTGGTATTCACAGAGGTACATAAAAAAGCTGAGATCATATACTCAGCAAAAACAACCAGGCATTTATATATGTCTGTATGAAGACGGCTGCAGAGATACAGATTATGTTATTCCTCTAGACTTGAAGTATGTTACAGTGTTTACTTATAAGTGTTTTATATGATGTAGTAATAAAGAACTATTTTGTACTTGTCAGTTCAAAAGTTTTAAAATAGTTTTTATCAGTGTGTATGTGTATATAGGTCAGAGCACAATTTGAGTTTGGTTAGGACTGGTGACAGGCTCAAGTTTCTGACTAAAACAGATCGACCTAAGAACCCTAAGGCTTCATTAAGCTTCTTGAGACAGGGTCTCCTGTATCACAGGCTGGCCTCAAACTCACTCTGTAGATGAGAATAACTTTATTCCTCACCCTCCAGACTTATCTCCTAGTTGCTGGGATTATAGGCACATATTGGAGGTTGAACAATGAATTTCATGCATGCTAGGTAAGTACTCTACCAAGTTAGCCACATCCCCAGTCCTCTTGGTTTTTTGTTTGTTTGGCGGGGTCTTACTCTACCTAGGCTGGCCTGGAACTCATTGTGTAGCCTAGGCCTGATAGTTAAATTATATTTAGTAGACTAAGCTTTTTTCTATTTTTCCACAGTGTACTTAAGTATAGTTATATTTTATATGAAAATATAATGGCCACTTAAGATTGTTAAGGGACTGCAGTTGCTCAGATATTCACCATGCTGTCTTAGGGTTTCTATTGCTGTGAAGAGACACCATGACCATGGCAACTCTTACAATGGAAAACATTTAGTTTGGAGTGGCTTATTTATAGTTCAGAGGTTCAGTCCATTATCATCATGGTGGGACATGGCAGAATGCAGGTAGGTGCTGTGGCAGTAGCTGAGAGTAGTCTGTGACACAGGGAGTGGTTTGAACATAGGAGATCTCAAAGCCTGCCCCCACAGTGACACTCATTCTCCAACAAGGCCACACCTACTCTAACAAAGCCACACATAATAGTGCGTCCCCTTTGGAGGCCATTTTGTTTCAAAGCCACTATGATGAACATGAATAAATTTTTTTTTTAAACTTGAGTTAGAAACAAGATTGTTTTACATGTCAGTCCCAGTTCCCTCTCCCTTCCCTCCAGCCTCCCCAACTAAAACCCTACCTATCACATATCCTTTCTGCTCCCCCTGGATGGTGAGGCCTTCCATGGGGGGGGGGTCATAAGAGTCTATCATATCCTTTGGGATAGGGCCTAGGTCCACCTCCGTGTGTCTTGGCTCAGGGAGTATCCCTCTATGTGAAATGGGTTCCCAAAGTCCACACCTATGCTAGGGATAAGTACTGAACAAGTACTGAACAAGAGGTCCCATAGATTTCTGAGGTTTCCTCACTGAAACCCATGTTCCTGGGGTCTGGATCAGTACCATGTGGTATCCCAGCTATCAGTCGGGGACCAAGAGCTCCCTGATGTTCAGGTCAGCTGTTTCTGTGGGTTTCACCAGCCTGGTCTGGATCCCTTTGCTCATTATTCATCCTTCTCTGCCACTGGATTCCAGTTCAGTTCAGTGAGTAGCTGTGGGTGTCTGCTGACCATGAATAAATTTAATAAGATGCTTTTTATTTCTGGCACCTTGAATGATTGGGGCCAGGTCTGCATCTGATAGTGCTACCAAGATACAGCATTTAGCCCAGGCCTTATTAAAGGTGCAAAACCCACAAGATTACATGTATTTTGCCTAAATGTAGGCAGAGTCTAATTTTTAACATATGTCTTGCAATTGTCCTAGTCATCTTTTTGAGCAGAGTAAGCAAGTTTGATTAGAAAAGCAAAAATAGCAGTTAGTCTTATGACCTATTATCTTGCTAGAACAGCAGATTTTATAGGATCAGTCAGTTTAAGAATCTTCACCGTCTGGTTAAAAAAAAAGAAAAAAAAAGCAGAGTGGGCTGACTGGGCACAGACTGTATAAGCTAGGGGTATACATGCTAGAGGCATTTTTTGTTATATATACACACATCATTTTTTGTTTGTTTTTTTCCCAAGACAGGGTCTCTCTTTGTAACAGCTCTGGCTTTCCTGGAGTAGCTCTGTAGACCAGGCTGACCTCAAACTCACAGAGATCCATTCACCTGCCTCTGCCTCCCAAATGCTGGGATTAAAGATGTTCACCACACTGCCCGGCCATCAGAAGGTTTTAAATCACATTTTTAAGGTTTTGTTTGTTGGGGTTGGAGGTGGTATGGGGACATGTCTCACAATTTAGCCCTAGCTGGCCTGGAGCTTAGCATGTACCTTAGGCTAGCCTTAAATATGTGGCACAACTCCAGCTTCATCTTCCTGCATGCTGGGATTACAAGTTGGAGATCCCAGGCCTAGCTAAGATAGTTACAAAAGTGTGAAGAAATATATTTGTCCCCATTAATTTCAGTGGGGTGTGAATTCCCTAAAATGCTTAGACTGAGAGCAGATGGGATGTTAAAGCATTTCAGGACAAATGAGTGAAGCCTGGTTGTTGCTTTATCAGATCCCTCACAGGATGTAGAACCAGTTTTATTCTGATTTATGAAAAGTGTTAAAATGAGGAATTATTACAAAAATTTATGAAACATTGCTTGTTTTCAAATTATATGTTAATATCTAGCACTTGACAGAGATTGATCATCTTCCTAGGCTTTGGGTTAGGTTCATTTGCTTTATAACTAAATAAAAAAAAAAGTTGATGTTGACCATCAACCATGATGACAGCTGATTCCTAAGGTGAGTATGGCCCGCAGCTAGACTTGATTTTTCTTCTATTTTTATAAAATTCCAGAATTTTAACCATTTCCACTTCAGAAAAAAAATGTTAGGGTTGAACACATAAATCTTGAGCAACAAGGAGTTTCTTCCAGACTTCTCCATCTGGGTATTGGTGTTTCTTTACAGATTCCTCCTTCATTTCTGTTGAGTAGCCTGCATCCTAGCAAAGACAACAGATTGGGACATGTTAACAGTGGCTTCTGCTGCTTCTATAAATGCTTCTAAATCTAATCCAGAGATAATTCAGTACTTAAGAAATTAAGTTTAGGGGTTGGAGAGATGATTTAGCAATTGAGAATGCTTGCTGCTTTTCCAAAAGCCTGGTGTGGCTCCCAGCACCTATCTCAGGCAACTCACAACCTCCTGTAATTCCAGTTCCAGGGAATTGCCTCCTTTGGCCTCCCAGGGTGCCTACACTCATGTGCACATACATGTAATTAAAAATAAAGTTTTAAAATGAAAGGGCTTTTTAAAAAGACAGAGAGGGTCACACTTACTGGTTACTTACCTGAATTGTTAATGAAACTAAAATGTTGGTACCTTAAATCTGTTGGTGAAAATGAGCTGTAATCTGGACAAAATTAGGGTAAATGGGCCAGGTCACAAAACTGTAGTCAAAACCTTTTAGGTCACTAAGGTGCATATGGTGCTGGCCTTGGGCATAAGGAATGTGTTTTGAGGGCTCAGCAACTTCAGAAATATTACTATAGCTTTATGTCTTAGAATTTCTATAAAAAAAATCATCAAAAAGCACCCTGGGGCTGGGTGTTGTGGTACACACCTTTAATCCCAGCACTCAGGAGGCAGAGGCAGGCAGATCTCTGTGAGTTCGAGGCCAGCCTGGTCTCCAGAGCAAGGCCAGGATAGGCTCCAAAGCGACACAGAGAAACCCTGTCTGAAAAAACCAAAAAAAAAAAAACACCCTGGGAACAAAATGATTTATTTCAGCTTATATCTCTCAGGTCACACTCCATCACCAGGGGAAATCAGGACAGGAACTCAAGAGGGCAGGAACTAAAGCAGAAACCACTGAGGAGTGCTACTTAGTGCCTTGTTCCTCATGGCTTGCCAGTCTACCTTATATCATCTAGTACTTACCTGTCCAGGGTAAGGTAAGCTGGGCTTACCCATATCACAGTCTTGCCCTCAGGCTGGTCTTGATAACTTCTCAATTGAGGTTCCCTCTTCAAAAATGATTCTAGCTGTGTCACCGTGACAAAACTAGCTGCACACTTAAGGATTTGATACTCATTACTAGAAAGACATTTGTTTCTAGATACCGAAAGTCATTTTTTTATTTTTTTGCTTTGTTTTTCAAGACAGGGTTTCTCTGTAGCTTTGGAGCCTGTTCTGGAACTCTGTAGACCAGGCTGGCCTAGAGCTCACAGAGATCCACCTGCCTCTGCCTCCTGAGTGCTGGGAATAAAGGTGTGCACCTGGTCTACAAAGCTGCACAGAGAAACCTGTCTCAAAAAACAAAGCAAACAAAAAAAGGTGTGTGCCACCACTGCCTAGAGAAAATCAATTTTTAAAAAGTCAAAAGCTATGGTCCCCTGGAGAAGGTGAGAGGTTCAAGATCTGCTGAGCAAAGTGGGAGCACGGGAAGAGGGGGGAGGGAGCTAGGAGAATGAGATGGGGAGAAGAAGAGGGATGCTGAGGACATGAGGGAGCAGAAAGCTTGAGTCAGGGGAAGACATTTTTTGTCTACAGAGAAATCAGGCACTAGGGAAATGTCTGGAGATCTACAAAGATGACACCAGCTAACTATCTCAGCAACGGAGGAGAGACTAACATAAATGCCCTCCCCTGATAATGAGATTGATGACTGACTTATATGCCTTCATCCAGGAGCTGGTGGAAGTAGAAGCAGACACCCATAACTAATCACCGATCTGAACTGGAACCCAGATGCAGAGAAGGACCAGTGAAGAGCACAGAGGTCCAGACCAGGCTGGTGAAACACACAGAAACAGCTGACCTGAACATCAGGGAACTCTTGCTCCCCAGTCTGATAGCTGGAATACCAGCATGGGACTGATCCAGACCCCAGGAACATGGGTTTCTGTGAGGAAACCTCAGAAATCTATGGGACCTCCTGTAGAAGCCCAGTATTTATCCCTAGCATTGGTGTAGACTTTGGGAGCCCATTCCACATAGAGGAATACTCCCTGAGCCAAGCTACACAGGGGTGGGCCTAGGCCCTATCCCAGAGGATACAAAAGACTCTGATGACACCCTATGGAAGGCCTCACCATCCAGGGGGAGCAGAAAAGATATGTGACAGATAAGGGTTTAGTTAGGGGGGGGTAGGGGAGGACAGGTGGGAGAAGGGAACTGGGATTGTCATGTAAAACAATCCTGTTACTAATTCAAATAAAAAATTTGGAAAAAAAAAGTTAAAAGCTTGGTGGTTTCTGTTTAGGGGCACAATGACTGCTGGCAGAATGTCTGCAACATGTCCGAGGTCTCAACTTACCTTGGGAGGCAGATAGGAAGCATGCTTGATTACCACAGGATACTTAAAATGTTCATGCAGGTGGTCAACATACTCACACATCCTAGGAAATTGGAGCATTAGTGCCTGAAGTTAGATAAGTCATGAGCTAGCAACTGTGACAGCAGACATCACATTTAAGATATCCTTAAATCGTGAGTTGAGAAGATGGCTTGGTGGGTAAAAGTATTTGCTTTGCAAGCATGAAGATCAGGATTTGATCTCAGGAAACCACATAAAGCTGGAGATGGTAGGGCATATACAGTGAGATGGGAGGTGGAGGTGGGCCAGCTAGCTGGTATACATAGTGGGAAGCAACAAAGATGCCCTGTTTCAGACAAGGTTGGTAAATGAAGACTAACATCTGAGGTTGTCCTCTGACCACAACTATGCCTGCATGCAACATTCTCTCTGTCTCTGTCATCTCTCTGTCTCTGTCATAGCTAGCTCTCTCCCTGTCTCTCTCCCCCCACCTCTCTCTCTCTCTCTTACACACACACACACACACACACACACACACACACACAATCTTTTTTGCAATGGAACCTGGGGTTGTAGATCCACATTCACTAGGCCCCTCTTTCCCAAAGAAAGCAGTAAAGATTGGTGAGAGTCACTCTTACAAGCCCAGGCACTCAGAAGAAAGAGGTAAGACCCAGGCAAACTGCATAGAAGAAACAAAGACCAGACATTGAATTCCTGGCCCCCACACACCACTGGGCCACAAGAGGAGATAGAGAGAACCCACCCGCACCCACTAAAAGGATATGGGGAGAAGACAGAATAAGATTTCACTCAACAACACAAAGACCAACATGACACCACCAGAACCTAGGGACTCCACTCCGGCAAGAGCTGAAAAGCCCAACACAGAGCATGAAGATGAGATGGACCTCAAAAATTATCTCAGCAAGTTGATAGAGACCTTTAAAGAGGAAACAAGAAAATCCCTTAAAGAAATAGAAGAGAAAACAAACAAAAAATTAAATGAATTGGAGGAAAAGACAAACCAAAAAATTCAAGAAATAAATAAA